CTGCCACGCTGCACGGGCTCCCCCCAACTGCCCCACACGGCTTTTCCGAGCCCAGACCCAGGGTGACCATCTGGAAGGACACGAGCCCTCAAACACGTCTCTGCTGCGCTGGCCCCTATCAAAGCCGGTGGAAGCAGAAGTCCCCAAACAAACCCAGACCAGCCCCGATTTCCATCCCCACCGTGCAGACGACCAAAGACTGGGTGTTCCCGCGGCAGGCCCCCAGCCGGCTCCTGGGCATCTCAGCTACCCAGATCGGGGTCCGGAGCGCTCCTGATAAGCCTCAATATCTTTCTACGCAGGGTGAAGCGACTCGCACCACAAGTCAGCTGTTCCACCAGGGCAGGGGAATTCTTGCGTCTGCAGTTTCAGTATCTAGCTGTTGAGCTGTGTTTAGTCTATGGCTAGAAAGTAGCCTTGTTTCTATTCTGAGAATATTTGTCTAATCGGGGGTCCAAGGAATTATTTTGCTCAGTAGAAAGCTATGTTTATTTGGATAAGTTTGCACTCCAGGATGGGTGCCTGGGAAAAGCCCAATAAAGGCTGTGCATTGCTGGAGTGTCTCGGGGCACGGTGCACACCCGTAAAAAAGGCAAACTCTTTATTTTTGCAGACAGAAGGGAAAGGCTTTACGCTCACGGCTTCTTGCCAGCGCTGAAACGAGACCCGTTTGCAAACTGAGCGCTGCTTGCTGCAAAGAGCTGCACGTCCCCGGCCGCTGCGGATGCTCGCCCGCAGGCAGGTGAGGACAACAGCTGGCCAAGGCTGCCCTCACGGGCATGACCCCGGCGTGGACGCCCGTGCTGCACCTCAGCTTCTCCCCATAAGTCTTCATCCAAGCGGTGCTCGGTAGCTTGAACTGTATTTTCATCTAGCTACTAATTTCAGAACTTTATTTGCTTTTGTAAATACAGATGACCCCACCACCCACCTCTGCTTCGTTAGGAAGCTGATGAAATGCTGAGCTGACAGACACTTGAAGGGTGAAGGCCCATCACCTGGGACAGGTGAGATTGATTTACCAGCCCCCATCAAGTCCTTTTGGCTTATCCCAACCTCCTTACCCCCGAGGGTGTGAGGAAACTGATGTTAAACCCAGGACCTCAGGATGCTTTTCCCAGCAGTCTCCACCTTTTTCACCTATGGAGTCACGGCATTTTTTTGAACCTAACAAAGCGTTCAGCTTTGGGTGATTATTCCCATTTTCCCATTTAAACCTTGGGCGCTTTGCCTCGAGGCTGCCTTCAGCTTTGTCCCACGAATGAACTGAGCACCCGCGTCTCAGTGGACTTTACCCTGTTTGCACACGACAAACACAGCGGCGTTGTGACTCCTTGCAACTGAGCAACCACCAATTTTTAGCCCCAAGATAAATCCTTGTTATCTGCTGAGATAAGGCCCGCTACAGCATCCTCCCCGTTTCGAAGGAAGGCAGCCGTTTCCTCATCGGGAAATTGCCTCCGGCTGCTCTGCGAAACAGCAGAGCGGCGGCAGCGATGTCCACAGGCAGCTGCCCGCACACACACGCGGGCTTCGGGATGAGCCCGACCGCGCGGGGTTGGGGTGGAGGCCGGGACGGGCAGCAGCCCTCGCCGTCACCACCCCGTGCCACCCATCACCTCCACGGCTTCGGTGGCAGTAGCTTGGGCGTAGGTAATGGCTTTTTCTCTGCAAAAGGCCACTTCTCCCTCCCCAGAGCCATCCCCAAAAAGGCGAACCCCGTGATTTCAGCATTGCTGCCCTGGGAATGTCGCTCCGGCTGTCAGCAGTTCCGGCTGGTTGGAGGTTGTGCCTCAAATTAGGAATTAGGAATACCCAATTCCCATTTTCATTGCTGAGGCTTGTTGCATTGGCATCGAGAACTCCATAATTTCTTCTCTTCACGTCCCTTGCAGCCTGTTTGGATTTTGTCCTGGACATCTTGTTTTGTGCTAAGGACTTTCTTGTCCCACTCCTGCTTGGGTTGTACACTCAGTGCCCCCATAACAGCCTCAGCCGCTCCCCATCCCCTAATTCCCCCTGCAAAAGGAGCTGCTCTGGGCAGGGGGCTGTATCTCCACCCCGACCAACATCGCCCCAGAACAAACCCCCTCCACGAGCTGACGTCCCCCCATCCAGATGCTCCAAGTTTCTCATATCCTTCAGTCTGCGGCACCAAGTCTTAGAGGACATGGCACAGCTCCTCTCCTGCAGCACAGAGGGGACAAAGCCGTGGCTTCGGTGTCACCACGCGGTCCATGACGAGACCTGTCCTGCTGCCCTGGGCGAGCAGAGGGCTGGAGAACACGGGACGCTCACCCGGCATTTCCCCCTCCCACCCCAGCCCTGCCTCTCCTAGAAATCCAGCACCTCCCAAGCACGTGGGGATGGTGTTTGCAGAGTGACTCACGCTAACCTGGCCTGCCAGCAATAAATTCTGTTACAGCAATAACCAAACTCCTGCCGCTCACGCACAGCTATTTCCGTTCTCCCCAGGAGGTCGCCCCAAGCCCCCATTTCTCTGCGTTTCACACGCGCCGCCGCCTCCGTCCCCTGCAGGGACCATCTGCGGGCAGGGCGGTGGTCTTCCTTCCAACCAGATTCCCGCAGCGCCTGTCCCACAGCAGCTCCAGCCCTTGCTGCCCGCCCTGCCAGAAGGGCTTCGATAATTCATGGAAGCAAAGCAGGTTACAGGCTCGAAACCCGTTGTGGTTATCGGATGCTCCTGGGCATCACCAACACCCACGGGAGGGCTGGCGGGACCTGGCGTTCGGGGCAGGGAGAAGGTAGCGGTGGGTACCACAAAGTCCGCCGAGCCCCTGCATGCTGCCCTGGGAGCCCAGGGACACGGAGAAGTGGGGGGCCAACGAAGTCACCCTGCAAGAACAGTTTCCTAACACTGATAGCTTGGGACTGAGTGAGGGGGGTCAAGAGTATGTGGGTGATGGAGGGAGCGGAGAAAAGGGCAAGAAAATCTATGTCGAGGCCAGATAAGGAGGGAAGCCCTCCTGGCTGGGAAGGAGAGGAGATGAAGGCTTGCGGCAATGCTAGGAGAAAGAGAGGGGTCTGGCTTGGAGGAGCCCACTGGGGTGACCGCGGCAGCGCTTGCAGGGAGGCTGCAGGGACCTGCTGGGTCCCAGCAGCTCCAGGGCCGGTGGAGCTGGCCCATGGCCCTCGATCCCGGGGTGCCAAAAGCATCCCCAGGACAGCCACGCAGGCATCCCACCAACGCCGCTGCCTCCAGCTGACCTCGGAGGGGTCCCCTTGGCTCTGCCTCAGTTTCCCCATCTGGCCGTCACCTGCCTGTTGTTTAAGGAGAGAAACACAGACAGTTCCCCAGAAGAGATCGTATCTGCCGGGGAGAGCTGTGCGCGGGTGGGATTGCTGGGGCAGCCACACCACCTCCATCCCTGGGCATCACCGGCAGCATCTCCGCGACGCCCCACGGCACAGCATGGCCCCGTGACACCACAAGCTCATCTCTGAGCCACCCAAGGCCAGTCACCAGCAGGTGATGGGCACAGGACATTTCAACTACCAAAGGCACGGTGGAGAGCCTTTACAAAACACCTCCATGGTGCAGCAGAGCTATCGAAGCGCTGCCTTTGCCAGGGGAGGAGCAGCCTTGCCCGGCCGTGCAGCCGGGACCTGAAATAGCACTGCTGGGCTTTTCGTTGCTCCTTTTGGTGTGTCCCCAGAGGGACCCAGAGCTACACTAGGTCACTTACGTTTCTGGGCATTTCCATGCTCAGAGGTTCATGCCCCACCACGTGTAAACAGTGAAGGCCATCCCTGGGAACAGACTCATTTTGGGCAAAACTTTGTGTGCTCCTGCAGGGCTACACCCGGGCCTGGCCTCAGGAGCATCTGGCAGCTGCTCTGTCATAAAAAAACAGCTCAGAAATTCACACAACCAGATTTTCCCCATCTTTAGCCATGCAGTAATAAAAGATTTTACGCTCCTCGGTGAAGCAGGGGCTCCCGGCTCCGCCAGTGCCGAGAAACATGCCACGAAGAAAAGGCAGCTACAAGAAATCATATTCTCCTTTTATTTACCTATGACCATGACAATGTATTGTTGCTAGCCGCAGAGATGCTTCGCACTGTAAACTGGGCGCCCGGAGGCAGGCAGTCCGTCCAGCTCTGCCAGGTTCAGCAATAACCCCCGCTGCTCAAAACACAATATCGTTATCCAGAGTAAGGAGAGCATCTGACTCACAGAGCTGCTTTTTCTCCACCAGAAGACCCTCCGTCGTCAGGGCATGATATATACACCCAGGCTCCCCCAGCGGCCCGCTGCTAGGGAACGCGGTTTGTCAGATAAAACCCGCGAACTTAGAAAATGTACGCACTCAGAAACAAAGGCATCCGCTCCACCGGAGAACTCCGCCGCTACACACACAAATATTGCACTTGTAATTTCAGAACGGGAAAGGACACGAAGATTTCCTATTACACAGCAACGCGTCCAGCTACAGGAGGTCAATAAATAAAACCAGGGTGGGAGCGGGAGGCGGCTGGCTTGCACGCCTCCGGCCCAGGGGAAGGACCCGGCTTTCGCTGCTCCCGGGGGGACCCGCCACGAGCGAAGGAAGCACCGGGCTCCTGCCAGACGTCTGCTTCGGGGAGCCGGGAGCATCACCGGCACGGGGCAGCACAGCAGCATCGTGGGGCCGGTCCAGTTCCGAAGTCTTTTATCCAGGGAAGATGTTCAGGTCGGTGCTGTCGTCCCTTTGCTGGAGCCCTGCACAAAAGTTCTCCTCGCTGAGTCGGGATCACTCGTCACCTTCCAGCAACGCCGGCAGCTCGGGCGTGTGCTTCACAGTAGTCTTGTGGGAGCTCCCCTTCTGGCTAAAATCCATGCCGGAGTCACCCCGACGGCGTCGTACCAGCGATGGTGAGACGGGGCGATGGAGCAGTACCAGACTGGCTTGTTGGTCCCCTCAGCCTCATGCTCGCGGCCTTCAGCTGCCCCACCCCCGTCCGCTGCAGGAATATGGCTTGGGGGCACGAACAGCAGCGGGAAGGCACACTCCCGCCGGCCCCAGGGAAGGCCTCTGCCACTGAATTTCATGTAAACACACAGCCCCCAGCCTGCCCTGACAGAGTCCTTGGGTCTACAGTGGGGAGCTGGCTTTCTTCTGGTTAATTATGTCTAAGTACAAGTCAGAGCGGAGGAAGCGGGGATAGGAGTCCTTCTCCATGAGCCCGTAAATCCTCTTCTGTGCGAGGTCGAAGCAGCCGCGGGTGATGTTCTGCAGGTTCTCCTTGGTGTGCTCCCGCGTGTAGGAGTCCAGATTGACCTGTGGGCAGAGAGACCAGCACCGGTGAGCGGCTCCATGTGCAGCTGCCATGCCACGGAGCCACGCACCAGCGTGGGAGCCAGCCCTCACCTCCTTGCAGGACTGGATGGCGATGTACTCGGCAAAGATCTTCTTGGCCTTGGAGACCATCTTGGACTGGGATTTGATCTTTTTGAACTCCTCGCAGGCCAGCCAGAACTCCAGGTTCTCCTCGCTGAACTCGGTGCGCAGGAAGGCCCTGAAGGCAGCGAGCCCGTCTGCGGGGACAGAGACACGTCTACTCCCGGCTCGCAGGCAGGGAACAACCCCACAAGACCCTCAGCCCAGCAACCTTGGAGAGGTGCAACCTAAGTTACATCCAAGCACTGTCCCCTAAAAAATCCCTTGCGAGCCCTCACGCGAAGCAGGCAGCACTGGCATTGCCAGCCGGAGCGTGGCAACACAAGCCATCCGTGTGCTGAATCCGCAGTCCTCAGCCCGGCCGCATGCATAGAGAGCCGAGAGGGGGAGGCTGGGATTGGAGCGGGGGCAACAACGGGGAGAGGACCCCCTGGCCATCGCTGTGGGGGATGGGCGTAGGATGTGACCACGACGTGGGGTGCCCCAGCTGTGACAGACAAGAAGGGGAATGGTCTAAAGCAGCTCCTGCCCCACGGACCCACTGTGCAGCTCCGAATCGGACACAGACACGGACCACTGCCTTCTCCTCCCCAAGCCGGAGCGGGGCTCCAGCCCCAAGCCAAGGTTCTCCCCGTCCCTGTCTCCGATCCACCCCTGGCCAGGTGGGAGCAGAAGGGGTGCAGGCAAGGGGCGGCCTCATTTCTCTTTGTCTACCCCCAAACACCAGTAGGGATTAAGAGAGGAAATCCCAGCTTTATCCATGCACGTGTCTGGATATCCCGCGGCAGAAAACAGAGGTGGAAGAGATGGACAAACACTTACATTTGTGCAGCAGCAGCTTCTCCAGGGAGTCCCCCCACTTCAGAGCTTCCTCGGGAGTGGGCCTGCGGGAGAAGGACAGTGTGCTGGTATAGCAAAGCCGTGAAAGCCACACTCGCCATCTGCCGCGACGCAGCATGAGCAAAATGTTTCCAGCCGAAAAATCCCTGCCGGGTGGCCCAGCAGGGCCGGCCCCGGCTCCCAGCTCAGCACCAGCATTGCCTGGAACATCTGCGGGCAGAGCCAGGCTCCGCACCAGACAGCACCGCGGTGGCTTCGGTGGAAGGAAACCTCTGCCTTTAGAGTGGCAGGAGGAAAATCGCACATAAGGGGGTCTGTGCGGGCAGCTGTGCCGCTCGGGGTGTCTGAGCAAGAACTGGAAAAGCTCCGGGCGATGCCCGGGAGACCGCGGGACGGCGGGGATTTCAGCCGCCCCATTCAAGCAGCTGGGTCAGCCGCCAGGCGCGCGAGCAGGGGGGG